TGATCTGATACCCTAATCAAGAGATCAATGAGACAGCACTTTGCTGTTAATTAGACAGAGAGAGGTAAGGATTTTCATGGCAATATAAATAAATTTCAGCTACTATGTTACCATTTAATGCCTTAATCCAGCTATAAAAAATGTACATTATGCAAAACTGTGCATTGCTAGGATAGCCACAGCTACAAAATATTTTAAATCTGAGCACAATAAGGCACTGGTGGTACTCTTATACACAGGTCCAGATCAGGGTCCCAAAAAACTGAGTACTAAGTTACACAAGTTGTTAAGTATATGAGTGTCATTCTTTTTAAATTAAAAGTTGTAAAATTATAAGTTAAAGATGTAAGAGGGAAAATTCTTCAGAACAACTTGGGGGTAGGGTTTAAGCCTCATCCACCTAGTTGTGATAGTCTTGATCAAAATTGAGCTTCTAGAGAGTTACTGTATGCTATCAAAAACAAAAATCAGAAAGGCAATAATATGCTATTTAATTTATCGTGCACAATTAACAATGCATTTTAACTCTTAGAAAAAGATGTACAGCAACTACCATAGCTCTGAAAACTGAGTAGGAGCAGATTCATAATAGAAGTCTAAAATGGCATTGTCTTAATTAAGTCGTATACTCAATTATTTGCAAGAAACCTTTTGCTCATCTATTGGAAAGCCTTCGTTCTGCAACATTCTCCCTCCACAAAGATATTCTCTACAGTCTGACAACCATAATCAGTTAAAGTGTGAGAAGGCATAATTCTTCACTCTCTCAAGAAATCAATATTGATGAGTAGTACCTTCAGTCCAATTTGACTTGATCTGGATCATTCACAACCTCTGGCAGATAAAGTAGCCTACATTTGGAAGGAATCTGAATGAACATTAAATATGGCTACCCATGGTGTTTGAAAGGTGTGAATAAATTGAGACTGTGCATGCATTTCCTTCAACTGTGAGACAAACACTCTTCCTCCCTTCACATTAATTCATCCTCCAACAAACAATCACACATTTTAAATATGAGTAGTCCCTGTTTAGCAACTGCCCTGCTTAGAGACCGTTCACAGTTATGATGGTGATGAAAAATGAAAAATGACCAATCCTTGCGTTTACAACCTTCTCGGGACTATAAAGCATAGGATAGCTGAAATAAGATCATCAGCACACCTAGCAACAGTTTTGTGTAGCAACCAAGTTGCCCATCCCAGTTGTGGTCACTGAAAAGTCTAATCTTCTTTTCAAGCAAATGCAATAATATTAATATTATGAAATTTTGTGGGTCATTTTAGAGAATAGTAGAAATGTTTTTGAAAAAAGCAGGCATAGGCAGTTGTCTTCCTTGTGCAAGTTTTGGACTTCAACTCCTATTTTCCCATCAGTTTGGACAATGATGAGAACTGTAGGACCACCATTTCAAAGATAAATAGCTGACCAGTTTGCTTGTCCCTGTGCGTCACTTTGGTTGGTGAGTACAATAAAGTGACCCTGTTCTGCCTTGCTTCATACATCTAAAGCCATCTGGGATCCTTTCCTTTCCTTTTTTCCTTTCCTTTCCTTTCCTTTCCTTTCACTTCCTTTCCTTTCCTTTCCTTTCCTTCTCTTTCTCTTTCTCTTTGCCATTTTTAATTCACTTTACTTCTATAACTTCTGATATGTTTATTTCTTTATTATTTACTAGCATTTTAATTTTATTGGAATTCTGGTTTTGGAGCTGCGGCTTTTAAGCCACCTTAAAAATAAATATTTGAATGAATAAATGAATGAATGAATAAATCAATGAATATGAGTCATAGATAACAAGTCACCATTCAGCCAAAATACAGACAGACTGCACAGTAACTGTGTGCCTTTTATTTGAGAGATGAGTCTGTACTTATTAATACAATTCATTTTCATGTAGTTAGTAGAGTTTCTGGATTTGACCTAGGGAAAATTAATCACTTTTTGACAAATGAAATCAATAGGAGATGGCATGCTTAATCCTGGATGGATTGCACCCCTAAATTATTTGAAAGATTCAGCATCTTTTTTGTTGACTCATGGGTTTCTCTTATTAAGCATATGAGATCAAACTGCAAGGAACATTGACTACAGTGGGAAAATGAGTAAAGATGTTATTTTTTAAAAAAAAACTGCCTGAAATTATATGGCAGGTAATAACTATGATTTTTACTGGGCTTAACAGACAGACAGAGGTTGTTTTTATATACCATTTCCCTATAATTCATTGATACTGAATTGGTGCTCCTTACAAAATGCCCCCCGAGAAGCTTTACAACTGAACTGGCACTTACAGAGCAGATAAGTCTCACTGATACTGGAGTAATCTTTCCACATGGATAAGCAGTTCTTGAACAGTTTCTCCAGGGAACAGGTTAAGGAGCCAATGTGTACTTGGCCGACAGATTTGACATTCAGAAAAACAGTCAGTATGAAGGATAGCTCAGTGTACAGGAAAAAAAAAATCATTTTTTTATTCCATGTAAGAAACAATGTGCATTTATTTTGCTATGTTAAATATATTGTCAAGTAGGATAAGCATATGATTTTATTTCAACACGTAATCCGAAGCTAAATGGATGGACAGAAAGAAGTACAGTTCATTAGTGCTGTAAATGAGTACACAATTTTCTTCCCTTTTTAGTGTTCTGAGTGCATAGTACCGTTCGTTTATTATTTTGCTTAAATCAGTATCCAACCAAAGTTCATAGCTCAAATTTCAAATTCCTTACATCTCTCATGACAGTCAAGCACTGGAGATCGAAGCCATGAGCAAAAGAGCAGATCTGTAGAGGAATATATCTTCAGACTTTGTTTCAGAAAATATGCAAAGATGTTGTCTACTAGAGGCAACTGTTTTGGCAAAGTGAGAGTAAATCACTCAGATTTCACTTTTATTACAAACTGTCCTTTAAAGAAAGATGTATAAAATGAATTGTAGTTAGGGCTGGGCTCTAACATTGGCCATGTTTCTCCATGGAGCATAAAACTGGATATTCCTAAAGAATACTTTTGATACGGGCTGTCGTTATAGTCTCATCACAGGAAATGAGCCTTGGGACATGAGCAGCTGTCAGCAAGGACTGACTCTGCTAGTGTGAAAAGATGGATCATGAGTCTAGCAGCTAAGAGGAATTGTTCTGCTGAACAGAAAAGGCGGAACAGACTCTTGGTTTTTATACCAGGCCTCATCAATCCATTGAGACTGCTTGCCCACTGAGTGTTGCTGAAATGTTGCATCCTTTTCTTTTGGCATGAAAACACAGGACATGGATCTGTGCATTCCCAGCTATCCAATATCTAGATCACAGCCATGACAGTCCCCACCAGTGCTTTGGAGACTGTTATTTTAGTTGGGAAAATATATTTGACCACTGTTAAAAGATACTGTAGACTCCCAAATGCAGTGATATGCAATGCTTTTTTTTTTTTTAAACCCCCATTGCCCAAACTAGCATCCACTAAGCATAACCACCAGCCATTCTGTGGCTGACTGATACCAGGCCATCTGCCTGGTTTTTCCTTATTAAGCTAATGAGTGGCTGCATTTGGATGATGAATTATAGTTACTGAAGGCCTGAGCATGCTAATCTCCCTGCTTGCTTATTGCTTCATCTTTTTAACAGCAAATATATTATTAAACTGATGTTTAGGATTAACCTTTTTTCAGTTTACTTAAAACAAAAGAATGATTCAACAATTTAAGGCAATTAGAAAGAGATGATATCTATCCCCAGTTAGTGAGGAGTTCAAGGTTCCATTGACAACAAAGCCTGCAACATAGAGTTCATGTGACTTTATGACAAGACATAAAGTCTTTGCACATTATTCCTCAATTTCCAAACTAGACTAGAAGTCTCTCATGTGTGTGTGTTTGTGTATGTGTTTGTATGCTTGTGTGTGTGTGTGTTTACATGTGTGCATTTGTCTGTTTGTCAAAGAATATGTGAGATATAAAAATGATGTTTTAAATATACTCAGTGAAAAATATATTCCTTTTGATCGTTGTCTCTTAGGTTTTTTTAATGTTCTCAGAAAATGACTATATCTTTTAGAGTCTCTCAAGGATTTTCAGATAAAAAGAAAGGTTTTATCTTTCCATGTCTATAAGCAGGGGAAAACTCTGGAGACTGAAACCTACAGGCAATTCCAATAAACTAAATCCGATCAAGGTAATATCAATGCCAGAATTAGAAGAAAACCCAGAGAGAATATCAATAACAACATTAAAACAGCAGGTTTCAACTGGAATCAATAGGCAGTATAAACAGAAAAAATTAAGTCACAAAGTGATAGTAGATAAAAGCTCTCCACTCATTAAAATTCTGTTTGTCTTTGTGCCTTTTTATCAATGTACCTATATATCTATGCAACTGTATCAAAGTTTTTAATGTAAAAGAATGATGAAATAATCTAATTTACGGTGTCATTTCACATATTTCTTTCAAGTCAGAATTGCTATATTAATAATGGTTTGCAGTTTAGTAAAATATCTCTATTCCTACCAACTTCTCTATCTGCTTGTTATAAAGCCCTTTTTATCAAATAACTAAACTTTAAAAGATTTCCACTTTGATCTGAAATGAGAAAAAGAGCGATTCCCTCCATTTGTACCAAATAACTCCACTATATTTTGCAGAAAGACAGTGGTCCGTTATTGCCTTTCTGTCACAAAACTTAGTGAGTAAGAAGGGAAGAATATTGAAGAAAAGAGCAAGTGCTAGAAAATAGCAAGTTAGGGAAGGACTGAGTTTTTGCCTTAATAGTTGAATCTACCTGGGCAAAAGAGGTACTGGTCTACTAGCATATGCATTAAGAAGTTGAAATATGATAGAACAGAACAGTACAGCAGTAGCTTTTGATGCCCTCCATGGTGAGGTCGTCTGTCTTTGCAACCAAGACAATAACAGCTAGGAAATACATCAAATATTTTTAGCATGCCCAGATAAAGTCTTTAGAAGGAAAAGAGGCTGAATAAAATACAAAGTCTTGAGCTGCATGGGTAATCTTTCCACAATATTTATTTTCCTTCTGAGACTTCCCATAATCCTGAGAATTCCCACAATCCATGAGTGTTCATGAAAATATTACGTTATATAGTAATAACTGTTTCCATTTGAATCCAGATTTTGGTATGAGGAATGAAACACCTTATTGCTTTTCCTATACATTTGGTGCTAATCTTTAGCAAAGAAAAAGGAAACTTTACTTTCTCACAGTGTTCTTGTTGGGAATGACTTAGTCACTTTGAGCTGAAGGACAGGTATGGCTGCTTCCACAATACTTCTTCCACCTCACTTTCACCCAATAGTAGAAAGTAATAGCAGCTATTCATTAATAAGAGGTAAAGTCAGGTCTTGTGGAATATTATTGAGGTGCAATCTATATCTGTCTTAGGCTTCTGTGATCCTGGAGAAGGCTGGATGCTGATATTTATCAATATCATGGTAAGAGAAGGAGTTTGACCTTTCTTTTCCTCTTTGTCATTGAAGTCCTGATGAAATAATTTTGCTGTAATTATACAATTAATCACTTTCTTCCTTCACTCTTCCCTGAAGCTCCAGTTTTGTACATATTTACTATGTAGTAAAGTACGCAAGTAAATGCAAACAATGCATTTAATATCCCAACTAGTTTTGACCTCAGTATCTGCAGGTTTTTTGCCTATTCTCAGCTGTGTCCCAGTTGCTGCTCACTTATATTTTTTTTAAGGGGATAATATTTGTCTGATGACCTGATGTGATTCCACAAGCTGAACTTTCATCTTCATCCTAAAAAAAGCATAGTGTACTGATCACCAAATGTACAGCAATCTAATATAAAGAAATCAAGGGAAGGATATTCATGGATGAACCAGCCTTTAGGTAAACCTACATGGGCCACATGAATTTTAACTATTGGTGGTACCACTGGAGTCACATTTCTGTATAACAGTTTAATTTTACAAGTGTTATGAAGGAATTCCGCATTGATTTCCTGCAATACTGAATGGCTTCATATTAAGATGCATTAAGGCAAGACAAGGGAGGTCATATTTATTCTTCCATTTTCTCTGAGGCAATTTGATTTCTTCTAATTGGGACATGCGGGGATCGCGGCAAATGAGCCCTAGGCTACATAGCAATGCCCGCTTTGGTTAAGCTGTCTGTTTCAGATGGCTTCTCTGAGGCTTATAGCACTTGGCAAGATGAAAAACCAAAACACAGCTCTCCTGGAGTTTATGTAAGGAGAAAGAAAAAAACTGGGAACCACTGCTTTCTTTTTACATTTTATTATTTTCACAACCCTTCACAACCTTGCTGAAAATCATATCTGTTACTACATTTCAGAGTCTCATTAGTTTTGCATGCAAGGTTTGTACTGGTGTAATCCCTTCATCACCTATAAGGGCATCAATCTTGATTTACTTCAGTTTCATTAGGAATGGTACTGGATTAATTGAGTTCAAAGCCAGCCATGGAGGCAATTAAAAGTTTAAAAATCCAGAATGACTTGTGATCTAAGATCAACAAATAAACATTAGTGTAGAATGTCAAATGATTTTTATGAGTGCCATTGTCTATGGTTATTTTTTTTTTAACTGAATTGAAAACAGATGTGGAAAAGATTCAGCTAGTAATTTCCCTTGTGCTCTTTTGAGCCGTTGTTGTGATTTAAAGTCCTTGGAAATTTTATTCAGAGCTTGATTTTCTTACTACCACTACAGCAGTTCTTCCTATATAAGGCCTGTGAATGGCATCATTGGTTAATCCTACTTCTTAGGCTTTTTAGGGTTGTCACCAAAAATCACATCTCCTGACCAGTTCCCCAGATTTAACTATGCTAACTATCATCTACAAAGGGTGTGAGGTTATGAGATGAGAAGTTATCAGCCATAGTGATGGCAATCCTAGTTCTAAGAACTCCTAGTTTATTCAGGGAGTGAAAGGGAATTAAACTTGGTAGTTGCTCTTGTGGGCTACAAATTTAGTTCTATCCTCATTGCTTTCTGTTGTTTTGTACAGAATTATAGCTGGGAGAATTTCTATTATAGACCTTTGGGCGTAGTGAACTTGAACTCTTTTTCTAGTGAAGTAATAACTGGCTGGAAGTATCTTGCACTAAAAGATACTTGATTTGCATTACTTTGCCAAATGGTATAAGATGTTCTTCTTTTTTTTTCCTTCTCAGCTATTTCTTCATCAAACAAGTAAACTGGCCATTATTACACTTCAGAAATCAATGCAATTTACTGTGTCCAACAACTATTTAGTAATTTGTGACCATTGAGTGCTTGTCTATACACTCCTAGCATTCAGTGGTTAATATGTTTATTTAATTCTTTGCAAAATCCTAAGATCTATAACTTAGTACTGTCTCAAAATTACAATATACAGAGGCTTTTGGCTGTCATTGATTTTATCTTACTAACATACAGTATATTTTCTTCTCACAGGGTTATTTTCATAATTAAACTTATTTTCAATTTTTGTCAAAATATAAAGGCTATAGCCAAAATAGAATTTCCTGTAATAGTTTAGACTCTGTCAAAATGAAAATTAATTTTTGGTTGTAAGATATTTGGTGCATATATATTATATGCACATACACACAATTATATTATATTATTGACACAGTTTAGCCAATACTAAACACTTTAAGCCCTATTGATTTAAGATACACAGAGAGCTAAACATATGCTTAATTTCCCATTAAAATAAATAGGACTTAAAAGTGTTTATCTCTGTTTGGACTACATGTACCATGTGCGTTGTTGGAGTTTGATTGTTGAAATCAGCCTGCACAAACTGCAACTTGCCAGGCTCAACACAGCTCACTACGACTAAGTGACCCTCAGGTTTTACTTGTAAAAACAGGTAGATCGTCAAATGCAAGGCAGATTAAGCTCACATGTGGTAAACCGGATTTATTTAATGAAAAAGGGTATAGTTTTCAAAGATTCAGTAGTATATTTACTTTTTAAACTGTGCAGTAATTTAAAAAATCTGGAATGCGTATATTTTCAATGTACACAGCATTCTGTCTTAGATGGATAGAATATACATGGGGGTATACTGCTGATTTTTCACTAGACTAGCAGTGGGCTCCAGTTTCCAATTGATAACTAAGTTTAGGGATACATTAGATATATAGAATTTCTGATCCATATTAACTCAGATGTTGACTGCATATGGAGGTCATTATGATTTGTGATTCATAAATTGGATTATAACTTGGGAATGGGAGAGAGGGGGGGTGGGTAAGAAATTTACACAATTCTAGTCTTCCTAAACAATTTTATTATGATGATTAAAAACTACGACATCTTAAAAACACATATAATAGAACATGGGCAGTGTTAAAACAAGTGGATGCCAATTAAGTCTTCAACTACTGGCGTTACTGAAGCAGAAACTTTGGAGTTTGATGAGTCTTTGTTAGAAAAATATGTTACGCTATTGTGTAGATCAGAGCTTTTCAACCTTTTCACCAATTGTACCACTTTTAGGATATTCAATTAGCACCTAGCAAGATGTCAAAAACTTGATGACCGAAAAAAAAAGGAAAAAAAATGATAAAGTACAGGTAGTCCTTGACTTACAACAATTTGCTTAGTGACTGTTCAAAGTTACAATGGCACTGAAGTGACTTATGACCATTTTTCACACTTATGACCATTGCAGCATCCCCAGGGTCATGTGATTTATATTTGGATGCTTGGCAACTGATTCATATTTATTATGGTCACAGTGTCCCAGGGTCATGTGATCCCTTTCCACTCTCCTGGTTTGTTGTTCAGCTGATCCAGAACCGAACTGCTGAAATGGTACTTCGCTTCTGCCAATAAACATCTCCTCTCGAGCAGCCGGCTTCCTCTCGCCTATTTCAAACAGCAGCGTTTCATTTTTTTTCCCTCTCTTAAAGGTATAGCCTCCCGGCTGGAAAGCAAGCCTCCAGCTTTTCCTTTCAACACTTCCTTCCTTTCCGTTTTCCTCCCTCCCTCCTGCTCTCTACCTTCCTTTTTCTCGTTGCTATCTCCTTCCTCCCTCCCTCCCTCCCTTCCTCTGTGCCTCACTTCCAGCCGATGCTGCCTTTCTTCATTGATGCTGCCTTTCTTCATTCCTCATGGAGAGTGACCCCTCCCCCGCTATGTTTCTTATCTGTTTGTTGCTGCTACCTGTTTGTCGCTGCTACCTGTGAGTGCACTCGGCATGGATGACTGCCACAGAAGTTGTAAATTGGCTCCCGGCCGGCCTGCTTGATCTTCTCTCCTCTCTTCCCCTTCTCCTCCTTCTTTTCCCTTTGGTACAGCTCCAGCATACTCCTCTTCCCAAGGCTGCATCTTTTTTTCCCCTCTCCCTCTCCCATCCAAACTGTCTCCTTTTATAGCCTCGCCTGTCTCCGCACCGCTCCTTCTCTTTTCTCTTCTGGGTGAGCTGGAAGGGCCAACCCTGGGGCCTTTGCCTCATTCCAGCAGCCCTGCAGCTCCCGAGGATTCTCACGGCAAATCCTGTGCTGCGACACTTTGGCTTGTTCCCTCTCCCGCTACACTTGGCTGGGCTGGCCAGGGCCACGTACCACCTGCCAGGTGCTAATGTACCACCAGTTGAAAAGCCCTGGTGTAGATCACTCAGAAGTTATGCAATTATCTGTGAGAACAAGAGCGATGTAGCTGGAGTCTTTGAGGGACTATGGCTTTAAAATCAAATACATTCAAGGAAAGACAAATACAATGGAAAAAACAATCATAGTTTTAGAAGGACAGAAGACCCAGACTTCACTCTCACACTTCTAAATAGTAATAGTGGGTACTAGTCATACATTTCAATGAAGGAACATTTGAGAAGCTTTCTAATTAATAAAAAAGTTATTACTGGAAAATGAATAAGTCAAGGATCTCTTCTGAAAAATGCCGTTAGAAAGAAGCCAAAGTTAAGAAGGCCTCAGTCCTTAGCCACTTACATTTAAAGACAGGAAACATAAAGAAAAGCATTGTCCAGTGAAACAGCATCTTGGCAATTGGTAAATCTCCAGTAGAATTCTTTTTCTATACCCTTCAGTCACAGTGAATAAAAATCCTTTGATCTTCCTGTTACCAAAGCAGATAACATTATAATAACAGCCATCCATCTAGATTAGACAAGTATTCATATATCTTGAGGCTCCTTTTCTACTAAATGCTATGTTGCAACAATGATCACTAATCCACACAAACTTAAATAAGCATTAAAAACATGCATAGTTAATAATATACTTGCTATTATTATTAACTCCACCAGGATGGTTCCTAAGACCAGTTCCAGGAAATATGAGCAGGAGGGTCACAGTGTCTTGGTGTCCACATGGTGAGCTGTTCACTGGCTTTCTGGCCAATGTAGGAACAGAAAATTGGGTAAAATGGATCTTGGCTTCATCCAGCAGAGTTCTTCCTATGCACCTTTCCTTGCTTGCATTTCATTGCAACATCATCATATCCCAACAACTTCCCTTTTTGTGGTTAGTTGTCATGACATTGCTTTTATCTCATGTCTGGCCCATACCTAATGTCATCCTTACATGTACCCATGCTAAAATAGTACTTTTACCCACATTTCTCACAGAATTTGCTGGATTATGATTACAGTAAGGTGATTGCTGTGGATACTGACTCTTCTTGAGCCATTCTGTCATGGACCATAGCAGTAGCAATAGCACTTAGACTAATATCCCACTTCATAGCACTCTCTAAGAGGTTTACAGAGCCAGTATATTGCTTTCAAAAAACTGAGTCTTTATTTTACTGACCTTGGGAGGATGGAAGACTGAGTCAACCTTGAGCTGGTCAGGATCGAACTCCTGGTAATGGGCAGAGTCAGCCTGTAATACTGCATTCTAACCATTGTGCCACCACAATTCCAAGCAGGTGAACCTTAGGTATTGGGATCAGCTTAGAAGCTATTGGCTGCTTATGTCAAAGTGAGTTTCTGGGCACTGTGTGCCAGATCTATTGAGCAATATCAAAAATCCAGTTCTTTCAAGCCAGACTTTTTTCCCCTTTATCCACTAGGCTCAGACACCCTAAACATCAGCTGACCATAGGAGAAGAGCTATATGTTCAAATGGAAAAGAAAGAGACAATTCTACCTGAACTATTCAGCTGTTGTTCAAGTTGCTTTTTAAGATGAAATAGCACTAAGTCTATGTTTTAAAAAAAACATGCTTATCAATTGGTATTTAGCACAAAACCAGAGCAAGTTTATAACTAAACCCACTAGTCCAACAACCCCATGCATTTCCCCCTGCCCTGGCCCACATTAAGGATAGAGATTGATACTTTCCCACCAAATAATGACATTAGATTGAAGGGAAGGTTAAAAAAAAAAACTGAAATCTACCATGAACTTAATATTCCTTATATGTTATACATTAAAACAGGATCATTTGCCTGCCACATATCTACAGAAGTATTAGAAACATCACATGGTTCAACAAATCTTATGCTGGAATCATCTATCTTCTGGTTCAATTCCTGGTGAAAAACATTTGCAACTTAGCTATGAGGAAAAACACTATATCTTGACTCCTGAGATGGTTTTTCAACTTATAGGTGTACCTGATAGATTTGTGACTGCAATTGAATGCTAATTGCCCTACCCTGTTTCGTTTTAAAGCATCTTGAGAATACATACCAATCCAAAGCTCTCTTACAGAATGCATTTCTTTTCTCATCTTAGGTGACATATTTTTTTTTTTAGATGTCATCGAATAGAGGAGCAAAACAGATATATTGCCACCCACCTCCTAGTCTGGTAAATGTCTGGATCACCTGTAAGACATGTTCCCTTTCAGTGGGCTGTCTCTTGTCTGGTAGACTTAATTAAGTGCTGGTTATTATTACATTTATTTGAAAGGGAGAAAACTTTCTTTCTTAGTTTCTTTTTTTAAGTGGGAGGATCATCAGAGATTAGCTGGGAATTTGTTCAGTGAGATTTCTTTGTTTTTGATTTTTGATAGTCGGACATCTTATATTCCGGGTCACATGGAAGAATAGATATACTGGATTGCTAGCTAGGGCACAATTTCACAGGATGATGTACAACAATAAATTGAAAGTTAATCCTGACAAGATAGCACTGTTAGCAGGAAGTCATGCCTTTCTTCGGGGGAAATGATAGTCAGCTCCCCTTAAATGATCAAGATTGCAGTCTGGGAAAGATATGGGTCCAGCACCATAACTGACAGCCAAAGTAGCATCTGTGGCGTAGAGTAGCTTTCTTCATTTCAGGTTGTAAGTCATTAAACCCTATTGGAATAGAGATTGTCTTGTAAACTCTAGATTATGCTCCCATAATAAGATGGCTTTCCTGACTGCTGACAAAGGAGTCCACAAGTTCTTATCCATTCAGAGTGACAGAGCCATACTGAGTTTGGGATCAATAGCTCAATGAATTCCTGCTACCACAACTTAACTGTGATTTTTTTTTTTTTTTAATCCTCAGGTGCCTCCTTGAAGAAAGAAAGCTGTCAAGAAGGTTTGTGGGTACAGTATGTTTCTCCAATCTGTAATGATGTCAGTAGCATTCGTGGTCCATAAAGACTCTAGCACCCCTGATACTGAGTGATGGGGGCTGAGGCAATTAACTTTTTATTTTTCCAGGCATTGCATGTCTGAGAACAAATTATAATGCAGCAGCTTACTCGTTATTACCAGCAATATTGGTGCAGTATATTTATTGTCTCTTGTTTTCTTGGATCATTCTGTTAATTATTCTGTAAATATTTGTAGTAAAGGGCATATAGAAATCTATGAAATATAAGCAGACAAATATATACAAAAAATTATAGTTCTTTATAAATATATTAGAGAATAATCCCTCCTGGCCCCTGAATTATCCCTGAATTCCCCCAAATATACATATTGATTGACTGATTATGTGCCACCAAATCTTTCAATTCCTAGTGACCACATAGATAGATCTTCTCCATGAAAATCTGCTTCTAACTTGGTCTTTCAGGTCTTTTGATGGTGCACACATCACCACTATAACAGTCCATCCACCTTGCTGTTGATCGTCCTCTTCTCCTTTTTTTCCTCACCTTTCTCAGCCAAAAATCAGAGACCTAGATCTTTGCATAACAGATCCAAAGGAGGATAATTTGAGCCTGGTCATTTGTGCCTCAAGTAAGAACTCTGGGTTAAATATGTGTAGGACTTTGCTTTAAACTATGTATGCCAATTTCATTCCAACTGATGTAGACCACACTAGAAGGTTCAAAAAGATTTCCTGAACTGTTCTGTTCTGTTCCTGTTCTGAAATGCTCTCTAATGGGAAATATGACCATATCAACTCCCACCCATTTTAGCTCAATGATTCTGTAAATATGTTTGAGCTACACGCCATTTAGACTTAATTAGCCTGGCTGGTATGATCACTCTTCCAGATTTTACTTGAAAGGGTTTTTAGAAAGATCCTATATTACCGATTTAATGTTTGACATTTATTTTTAATCATCCTGAATTACTTCAGTGGCTTTTGCAGTCTCTTTAATTAATGGGAGAGATTCCACAACTTGAAGCTTCCTAGAAATAACTCCCATTGACCTCTGTGGGACTTACTCCCAGATGAGCATTTATCATTTTATAGTGTAACTTTCCTATTGAAATTGTCGAGATGTAAAAAAAAAAAAAACCACATTGGCTGTATTGTATGAAATAATTAATAAATAAATAGGATAGAGGAAGGGGGAAGAAAATGAATTAATTAATAAATAGTGAGAACTGTTCTCTGTTGAAAAAATAAAAGTAGGGTTTTCTTTAACAAAACTAGAAAGAACTGTTTATTTTTGTTGTTAGGTTAAGTAACAAAAATGTAATGAGTGATTCACCTCCCATTACTACACCTGCTTGTACAGTTTAAATTAAAACCCAAACATTGCAAATCCTACTTCACAATGCCTTTCAGTGTTTGAGACTCTGCTTTAAAGGACCTCATTGTTTAGGAGGATTAGCTCACTGCTTTTACTGGCTTCAAAGAAATGAGAATCTTCACTCACTTTTTCTATTGATCCCTGTTGATCAGATTAACTATGTTTTGGGTTCCTATTGAAAAGCAGAGACAAACAGAAGCATTTCTTAAACACTTGTGCAGAGGTTTGCTCAAGTCAGGATTCCTTTGTACCTATTAGAAATGTGAAAAGACAATTACTAAGAAGTCAAAACAAAATAAAAGAAATTGCAGTAAATTCCATTAATTAAATACAAACATTTCCGGCTAATTATCTCAATCATGAAATGTTCTTTTCGACCCTATAATTATCGTTTAGGCTACACAATTAATGATGTAGCTGCTGCTTAGTTTCATGTAGATTTTTTTTTATTAACAATGCTCCTCTTGCCTATGACTAGAGGGTTCTCAAAATGAGAGTGCTAGATCCATACACCACTTAAAGAAAAATGCCTGGAATTAAAATATTTCATACCACCTGAGCTGAAAATGGTGCATCACAACACATAAGCAAAGACACAGCAGGGAAACATGTAGACTATAATAAAATCAGTTTTAGAAGAACAAAATCCAAAAAGTCAGCTACCAAAAAAAAAAAAAGGAAAAAGGAAAAATCCAGGAACAACAAACATATGATTGGTGTCTCTAACTGAACTATTTTGTCTGTCTGTGTGTGTGTGTGTGTGTGTGTGTGTGTGTGTGTAAAAGAGAAAGTGATCAGTTAGATTTCTCTAGCAATGTGTTTCTACACAGACTAAATTATTTTTCAATACTAAAAAGATGTTGGAGAGTAAATAACTTCATACGGGTGAAAGAATGTGTGGAGAGACAAATACTAAATTTAAGATGATAACTTTGAAAGCACCTATTTTTGAGCTGGGGTTTGTGCGAAAGAAAAATACAGACAAGCTTCACTGGGAAAATAACATGGTGACAAGAAAATCTGAATTAAGACAAATCTGCATTGTGTTATGAGTGAGCTAAGTATGTAACTGAACCAAGCAGAGACATAAGAGTAAAGAGAAATGAACTGAGAGGGGAAGGAAGTGATCAAAAACCTGAAAGCATCAACCCAATCAACAGGAAGCATTCAACAGAGGTATTCAAAGCAAGTCTTTTAGGAAAGATAAGCTACAGTACCTCTACATTTATTGCCCCTAATGATCAGTAAATTTATAGGTGCAGAAAGCTGGCACACAGGCAGTTGACTTCCAATTATTACATCATTTATGGGGCAAATCATGTAGCATAGCTTCATATGAAATTTATACGGGGCTTCCTAAACTAGTGCCAGAGTTTTGAACTGAGATTAGAAACTTATTGGGAATGTATAAAGATGTCACCTGATCAGAAGATAGACAGTTCATTGGCTGGATATTTTTCACAGCCACCTCTGGACTATTATATTGAAACGATGGAGAGAAGGTTGAGAAAGGAGGTAGCAAAGTCTGAAAAAGTGGGGTAGAAGTATCACTATTAGTGATACAAAAACTGTTTCCGCTACATATGACTTTCATTTGAGTACGTTCACAAGTCTCTTTTATCTCTTATTTGCAATAACAAGAAAAAAAATCTGCATAAGATTTGCCTTGAAATATGACTTTTGAACATACTTCTGCAAAATACATATTTTCCCTCAGCAGTTGTATCTTTGAGCATTTTTAGTAAATATCTGGTGGAATATTGTAGCCCAAACAGATTTGGTGATATGGATCAGAGCTTTCAAAGGCTGAATTCCTCAAACCACTTAGATATGTCTTCTATCTCTGTCCATTCTTCCTCCAATCTTTTCTTTTTGTTGTCACAGGATAGGAACAAGACAGCAAGCAAGAATGTGTCTTACTTTCACAGATGGTTATTTATTACTTAACTATTATACCTGTAGAACTTTATTAACACAAAAGCTGGTTGCTTTCATCAGAATCATAAAAGCAATGCTCTGGTATCATACCAGCAGCTCCTCCCCTTTTCTACATGGGTGTCATATCACATCACATGTATGAAAGGGATGGGTCTTGCATCACAATGCCACTATGTTGTTTCTGACATTCTGGCCCCTTGAGGACATGGCTTTATTGGCAAAATCCTGAACATAATTATTTTCAACTTTTATGCTTTCAACTAAGCTTTCCATTTGGAAATAGAAGCAAGCTGGCACACAGTCTCTTTTAAATTTCCCTGCTGCTTCTTTAAGCATTCATTTCAGCCATTCTATTAGCTTTCAATTGCAGTCCTTCTTTCTCATTTTTGTAAAGTAGCTCTTGGCCACTGTTCTGCTTTGCTCTTTTCTAGTCACTAGCTCCTTCACCTTTCTTGGTTGCAAGTCTCTTTCTCCCTTCCTCTTGGCTGCCTCTGCTTGTCTGCTTGTCAATCCTTCAGCTATTCCAATCAACTATGCTCTCCCCCATCTACCTCTCCCTTGGTTCTTCCTTCTGTCTTCTTTCTGATGAAATGCGACATACATGCCTATGCCAGCTCCAGCAAGAGCTTTCACCTCACCTAGGCGTGTTTCTGAAAGAGCTCTTTTCATCAGCTAGCTGGCAAGCAGGCAAAGAAAGCAATGCTGCTTCTAGAAGGATTGTGGATCTACCTGAGAGGCAGGGACTTGCACCTTCTACAAGTTCCATTTCTGACAAAAATTCTAACAGGAATTTAGCAAGAGGAAAGGTTGCTTTTTCACAAGATTTACAATGATTGAGATCCTAACAGGAAACGGCAGCCATTTAGTTTCTGAGTTGATGACTCCTTCTACTGCCCAATACAGTATACAGCTTAATTGAGTTCCATTAAATGAAGGGTAAGGATGGGTAAATTTGAGGTTTTGTCATTCCTGCATTTCAAAGAATAAAACATGAATGAATTAGTCTTGTGATCTCAAAAAGACCTATGCATATCATATATTTTATAGTTTAACACTATAAATTAAGTTCAAAGGACACTGTTCTTTATAAGTTACATAGAGTACACAGATTTGAGAGGAGTAGGAAGAAATTTGAACCTCTAAATCCTTTTTTAAGGTTTTAATTTGCATATTGGTTCTGAATGTGAAAATTAAGTGATTTTATGTAAAAATGCAACCCAAATTCTTTTCCTCCTCATCTCTCTCTCTCTGTGTCTCTCTCATACACACCAAATATATATATATACACGGTAACTACATACACATAATATAAATTGGGTGGCCAAATTAATTTGTAAAAGAATAGCCTTGTTGTTTTATTTATTATATTTATTGGTATTGTTGTTTTTAACTTCCTTGAGGCTTGCATAGTCAGAAACAACATAAAAAATCAGTCAGAAATGGAATCACATGAGGAACGTGTGAGTGGGAATACTGAGTGATACTTGAAATAATGTCTAGATCATTGATTTTTCACTAATGATAATTTTGACCCTGCACCAAACTAAAATGGATTACCAAAGTACAAATAGCAACACATTTGTTCTTTTCATTGCAATTCGTATGAAAGTACAGAGAAAGCTAGATGAGGGGGGAGAACAAACAGCAAGAAAAACAAAAAATAAGCATGTCTAGGCAGGCATATGTTACCAATATATGTTAATGCTCTTAAATTTTATGATGCTGTTTAACACAATTTCCCTATTAATCTAATTTTCTGGTTCTGGAACTGGAGCACTGCAGCTAAAGAGTTTTCTACTCAATAAACTGTTTCAGAATATGTTGAAAGCAATGAAAAGCTATCAACATTTTGTTCATGCCCATCTCCAAATTCTCTATTCTATGTGGCCATAAGCAGAGCAGAACCTGACTTTTCTCTATTTCTCTCTACACTTGAAACAGGCAGAGGATCTTTCCTCATGACAATCAGATACTACAGTCCTTCCAGGAAGGCAGATCTAGGGACAGCTGCCTTAAAGTTATCTGTCCCTGAGCTGCAGAGTCTCTCTTATATTGATTCTGACTGAGGCCTATAAAATGGTGTCAGACTACAAAATGAAACACTGATGCCTCATAATGTGACCAGCTTCTTGTGCATGGCCACTTTGTGTCAGGATCAATCCTGGAATATCCTTTAACAAGAAATCTAAGGACGAGTACCCCCAACATCACAGTTTTGATTAATACTGAGGCTTAAAACTACACTTTATTTCACAGATCACATTTTTTCACGGAGGACCACATGATACATTTCTAAATCAGAGGAACCACCTGACTCCCTTCATTTGTATCTGTCCTATTAGGAAAATGTTCCCAGTCCTATCTACTTGGGGTTGTCTCTTTTTCATAATTCCATCTGAACCTCTGGAACACTGAACTACTTGAGGTTCAGCTTGCCCTGACTGAGCTCTCTTTTAACCTTACCTATCTCCTGACTCTCACCCACATCAAGGAAGAGTTGGTGTCCCAGAATTCTTATTTCAGGGAATAAACACTTGACTCCTACTTTTATCTGAAGGAAGTTCATACCATCAACAGCAGCCTATTCCCAACTTACTGCTGTTCAATCTACCACCAACTGTTCCAGGTAGTTCACCTTCTTCAGTTCTTCACTTTTACTTTCCACTCCCCACAAACAAACCTATTTTTTCGGATGCCGAGCAAACTCTAAAGTCAATTCTAATTCACTGTTCATGTGTTTCCAACTTTCCAATAAACTCTGGATATACTCCTGGATGGAGGTGAAGTGATTTCAGTTGCATTCACATTTGCCAGATTCTCTATCTCCCACCAAAATTTCTTTGAAGAGCTTTGGCATTTAGCAACTGTTGCATAGTAAATTGCTGGCAATGGTGGTAGCAACAGATTCCAAGCACAGCCCATAATGTGTCCAAAATGCATCTCCACTGACATCAACAGACTTCTTTCCTTCTTCCCTAACACCACCCTATCTTTGCCTTACAATGGCCATGATGCAAGAGACCAATGTCCTTCACAGATTTTTTTTTATCCTACTCATTTAATTTATGCTCTCTCTCTGTCACCTTCTGACATTTGTATTTGAAATTTACATTCTCTCAAAAGAACCAATGGATACATGACAATTCCACACAATTTTGCCAAGAAATTAAAAATAAAAGTTCTTAGTATACATACATACATACATACATACATACATACATTGTATGTATTAGATATAAAGACATATCTTGTTCAAGGCATTATATTTGCCTAGTATAAAACTCACCCATTTAGTTATCTGAACTTGGTGTTTTCATTCACTTAGAAAGATGGCTATAAATATTATCCCAGACTTTCCAAGCTGTAAAACGATACATGATAATGGCTCCTA